CCCTAGCTTTCTCTAGTAATAAAACATTAGGGATAGAGCTAAAGTCTCTTACTATCTGTCTACCTAGAGATACTCATCTGAATTTGGTGTTTAATCATTTCTGTGCATGTTTTCATACTATTATTATGTACATGTGCAGACATTAACAGTATGTAGTACTGTTTTACCTTTTTTCCAGGTTTCTGTAAAGCTGTCATACTACACATATTCTGCAACTTGCATTTTGCTTAAAACGTTTTTACCATTTGTCTGGTTTGATACAAGTTCTAGTTCACTCATTTTTTTAAAAAAATTTTTTATTGTATCATAATGGATTATACATATTTTGGGGTTCAGTGTTGACATCTAGTTCACTCATTTTAACTGCTGTAGAATATTCCACTGCAAGAACAGTTTAGAGTTTATTAATCTGTTCACCTATTGATAGACATTTAAATCATTAAATGTACTTCAGGAACATGCTTGTATATTTTTGCCATTTTAATTAACCATTAATATTATTACACAATAGTACAACATTTCATGTTAATGAACTTTATGTTTTTCTGATTTAGCAAAAATGACATAGAACTTGTGATATAGAAACGTCTAGCCTGAAATGAAGGGAGGTCTTAAAAAAGGTGTGACTATCTGAATTTTATGCAAAAGGCCTGGATATTATTGGGGTGGCTTTGAGACGGTGACTCATCCTCTCTCAGTCATCCTCAAAAGGCAAGAAAGTCATTTACTTTTGAAACTATTTTTTTTTTTTTTTAAAAGATGACCGGTAAGGGGATCTCAACCCTTGGCCTGGTGCTGTCAGCACCACGCTCAGCTAGCGAGCAAACCGGCCATCCCTATATAGGATCCGAACCCGTGGCCCTGGCGCCATCAGCACCGCACTCTACCGAGTGAGCCACGGGCCGGCCTATGAAACTATTTTTTTTTAACAAGAGTTTTGTTAAGGTGAATCTATGTGTGACAGGATGTTTACTCTATGTTCGTCTTTGTTCTTACCGTTTCAGACAGGATGTTGTTGCGCGATGTAAAAGCTCTTACCCTCCACTATGACCGTTATACCACTTCCCGAAGGCTCGATCCAATCCCACAGTTGAAATGTGTTGGAGGCACAGCTGGTTGTGATTCTTACACCCCCAAAGTCATACAGTGTCAGAACAAAGGCTGGGATGGTTATGATGTACAGGTAATATTCACTCCATTGATGGCAGTCTAAATGGAATTTTTGTTCAATAAACTGTTTATTTGGACATTCTTCAGTATTTTTGGAAAGCAGATATAGACAATCTCAGGTCAACCTAAAGTATGTAAATGTCAGTCACTATTCCTCTGGAAGAAACAACCTCCAGAAGAACTTAATTGATTTTAAAGCCTGGAAATAAATATTCATTGTAATTTTTGTACCATGATTTCCTTCTAAGACATTAGTAAAATTTTAAAACTTTTGATATATTTTGGGGGAGGTGATAGGGGAGCTCTTCTGGTTGTCATTTTCCTGTCATTCCTCAAAGAATACCAAACTGTCCTTAAGAAATAATGTTAAGATGACCAGGAATCATAGATTGTAAATTGTAGGGGTACATGTGTCCCTGTTCTTCAAACACTTCATTTTAAAATTGTTTTATAACTGAGGGTAGTTACTTCTGAATGCTAGCCTTTGTGATGCTGGCACTTCATACATCTCCTTAAAGTTCCAGTACTTAATATGCTTTAGAGATGGAATAGATTTTATTAAATGAATTCAGTTTATTTATTTATTTTTTTTTNAATTGATTTTAAAGCCTGGAAATAAATATTCATTGTAATTTTTGTACCATGATTTCCTTCTAAGACATTAGTAAAATTTTAAAACTTTTGATATATTTTGGGGGAGGTGATAGGGGAGCTCTTCTGGTTGTCATTTTCCTGTCATTCCTCAAAGAATACCAAACTGTCCTTAAGAAATAATGTTAAGATGACCAGGAATCATAGATTGTAAATTGTAGGGGTACATGTGTCCCTGTTCTTCAAACACTTCATTTTAAAATTGTTTTATAACTGAGGGTAGTTACTTCTGAATGCTAGCCTTTGTGATGCTGGCACTTCATACATCTCCTTAAAGTTCCAGTACTTAATATGCTTTAGAGATGGAATAGATTTTATTAAATGAATTCAGTTTATTTATTTATTTTTTTTTAAAAGATGACCGGTAAGGGGATCTTAACCCTTGACTTGGTGTTGTCAGCACCACGCTCAGCCAGTGAGTGAACCGGCCATCCCTATATGGGATCCGAACCCGGGGCCTTGGTGTTATTAGCACCGCACTCTCCCGAGTGAGCCACTGGGCCGGCCCAAATGAATTCCGTTTAAATTACTACTTATATATTTCTACTTTATATTCTGCCTGTTTTCTAAAGGATTTAATATAACTGGTTACTAGGCAAGAAACTTGTGTTGATAATTTCACCTTCTATCAGAGTGCTATTCTGGTATAATCTGTAAGCATGGCCTGTGCAGTTTAGAGCGAGTATTGATGTTTACTGGGTAATACTTATTTTACCACATTTTTTTCCCAGTATTGCTTAATTCAATTGTAGAATCTCCAGATTAAAGCAGAAGTTTCTTTCCCACTTTACTTTTAAATCACTTTTACAGTCTTGAGGGGAAAAAAAGACAGTAATGGTGATGTTATTCATTAAACATATATTAAATATGTAGTATACAAAATGAATAAGATAGAATCAGGAAACTCTCTTCCTAGTAGAAGATATAAGACAAACACTCAAATTATATGTAGGTTCCAACAAAGTGTTGTAAAGTCATGTCCAGTTGGGGTCATGGGGAAGATGTAAATTTGCAGGTACTTGTACTGTGTTAGGAAGGAGTGATCAGATTTTTAGAGGTGAAGAGATAGAGAAGGGAGCAATAGCATGAGCAAAGAAGTATAGAGCATATCATATGTTGGCTTATGATGTTTAGTAGTAGGAGAGAGCCTCCTCCAATTCCAGGAGTTGAAATTTAAATATAGTACTAAGAAGCCACTTTTAGAATGTACTGTTAAGGAAATGGCAGTTAACATTAAGTATCAATTTCAATGCCAATATAGATTTACCTTGTTTTATTTATCTAAATCAGCAAACTTATAAATCTTCCTCCAAATAGAATTATATAAAAAATAAAATAGGATGCTGGTTAGCTCAGTTGGTTAATGTGTGGTTCTGATAACACCAAGGTCCAGGGTTCGATCCCTGTGGCTAGTCATCAAAAAAAAAAAAAATGCTGCTTAAAGTAATGAAAAATAAGAAAGAAAAAAAAGTATAACAACAACAATAAAAAAAGAAAAATTGCATATCATCCAAATCAAAAACTTTCGGGCTTGAAAGAACATCATCAAGAAAATGAAAAGTCAACTCACAGAATGGGAGGAAACTTTCAAATCATATCTGATGAAGGACTTGTATCTAGAGTAGATAAAGAACTATTATAATTCAATAAAAAGATTAATAACCAAATTAAAAATGGGGAAAGCATTTGAATAGACATTTCTCCAAAGAATATATGCAACCAACCAATAAATAAACACATAAAAAAAGTTCATCATCATTAGCCATCAAAAAATGCAAATCAAACCACAATAAGATACTACTTTATGCCCAATAGGATAGCTGTAACCAAAAAGACAGATAAGTGTTGGTGAGGATGTGGAGAAATTGGAATCCTCATACACTTCTGTTGGGAATGTAAAATGGTGCAGGTGCTTTGGAAAACTATCTGGCATTTCCTCAAAAGATTAAACATAGAATTACCATATCCCCTGTCATTCCATTCCTGTGTATTTACCCAAGAGAAATGAAAATATATGTCAACACAAAAACTTGTACACAAATGTTTGTAGCAGCATTATTCATAATAGCTAAAAAGTAGAAACAACCCAAATGTCCATTACTGATGAATGATAAACAAAATGTGGTCTATCCCTACAGTGGAATGCTCATTATTATTCAGCCATAAAAA